GTGACATTCCCTTCTCATATGCCTTTTCTTCTTGTCCGTCGTATGTCCAATCCGTATCCATGAATTTAAAGTATGCCTCACTGGTTAGAGCCAACAATGGGATTTCGTACAAGATAGTATCGACCCATAAACCCTTTACCACCAAATTGACTTCTCCTAGGTCCTCATCTTTTCCCTTATCATCGTCTGCTACAAAAGTAGCCTCGATCTGATTTCGCGGATCTAGGCGGAACTCTTTCAAGAAGTTGAGGTAAGGTTGGTTTAAGTATGTGCAGGTGTTTTGGAGAAATCGGAATTCTTCGTCTTTGAGCGCAATATTTCCCAGTTCTATTTTCATAAGCTTCATTTCAGATCAATACTTTAGCTGTGAGTTCTTACTGCTAATTTGAAGCTGTAACCAACGAAATGCAGCTCTTGACAACTTCTTCTCCGGCGTTCTATTCTTGAATGCATACGTCACACGAACGGTGGGAAAGTATTTTAGGACGGCGCATTGCATCGTCAACTTGTAAAGATCGGTATCAAGAAAGCTGATCACCCCCTCAGGGTATTGCGAAGTTGCATAGAAATCCATCTTTGATTTTGATTGCCGGAACCAAAATTGTAATTATGTTGTGATAAATGTTTCTGTGTGTACGAGTACAAGAGAGGTACTGTACTTATTATGATGAAACGATGAACTGACCCCGCCATAAAATTTAGTAGTGGGATGAATGGCGTGGTCTGTGAGCACCAGAGTTGAGGGTTACGTAATTCGACCCACTATGAAGTTTCTAGACTCAAAAATGATCTATAACCTTAAAACCTTTCTATTAACTTATAAGACATTCTTATAATTTCTAATTCTAGAGTTATATATATCTTTATTAAACTAATAGAATCGTTAGAATTCAGCTATTATAAAATAGACATCTTAACATTTTAGTCAAATCTATATATTAGTTCGTATTCTATATATATTTAGTTTTTATTAAAATGAAAAAGAAAATAGTACGGAAATGTCTTAATCGGTATTAAGCGGAACTAAATTACTATTAGATTGAGATACCTAAGTTGAATACCTTTACAGGGATATCTTTACGATATATATCCTTAAAAAAGACTACAAAAGCCGGTATCCTTATGGAGAGGTTTTACTATAGCTTGTAAGTCAATCAAAGGCAGACTGCGGAATTCACGGCCTTCAATACAAGCTCGCAAGTTAAAGTAAGTGGGCAGGTACATGATTTTCATCTCAGCCCAATATCTGGCTGACGGCCAATTAAAACTAATGTAGCATGCTATGTATGAAAAGAATTGTGATCCTTATAATGTTTCTATCCTACTAACTAATCCAATCATGCTTTCTGACTATCGCTATTGATGCAAGATTTTATGAACGCCGATCCTGTGCAACCATCAATATTTCAAACTTCAGTTCTTTATAACGAAATCCAAGCCACCCGCTCCAATCCCATGCATAAACTCCAATCATTGCTCATTCCAACCATTCAATATAAAATCAACTTATATCAGTCCCCCACTGTTTCGCGTGGAAAATGGTATCCTATGCTCCTCGCCATCTATGCAGCATCCCTCATATCGTCTTCCTTCCACTGATGGAACATCTTCTTATAACTCCACTCAGGACTACTCGGTTCAGTGACGCTTTTTCTCTCTCCTCTTGGTCTTATCTCAGTTGGTGACATGGATTTGGGTGAATATATAAACTCCGTCCCATTTCTTATAATCGAGGGAGATGTAGCGAGAACACGATCCGTTCCTGCAGTTATTGGCTGATTTCTGGAGAATAAATCAAGTTGTCTATCAGCGGTCGAGCTAGCTATACCATATACAGCTTCATCTGCTTCTAGTTCTGTAGTGCTTTCATCAGTCTGTGGTTCGTTATCGGCATCAGAGCTTGACGGTGAAAGTGTTGTTTCTCCGGGAGATGAGAGATCTCGAATTTGGTGCTTGATTTGAAGCATCTCTCTTGAAGGAATAGGAAAGCTGAACATTTCATCTTCTAGCCCTAATCGTGGCGTATGACGAGGAGTAGTCCGAGCAGAAAGAGGTCCAGTGTAATGGGAACGCTCTTGATGCTTTGTAATGTCTAATACCGAGGCTGTTGCCCTGAGTGGCGGGCGAGATGAATTTTCCCGTTTCCCATTTTGCTTTGAAAATTCACTATCTTCATCCCGCGACATCAGCAACAAATTTCCGTTATCAAATCTCTGTCTTCCCAGTCCGGTAGACTGTCGGGAGCCCTCACCAGCCCTCAGCCGCCTTAAGTTTACCTCACTTGGGCTAAAAACTACTCTCGCTCGTAGTTTCTGCACAGCAGCATCTAACTCCAGTTCAACGGCGCAGTGATTCCATACACGACTTAATTTTGGCCAAGTAGCTCTTTCTCCAGACAAACAAGCCTGCTCCATGAATTCGGTCGTTGGATTCTTTAATATCCTGGGAAAGTCCTTAAAATTGATTTCCGGTAGAATTGTGATATCGCCAGAATACTTCTGACTCAGGATAGACTTGCACTTAGTTACCAGATTCGGAAATACACCCAATTCAGCCAGAACTTGCATGCGATGCAGAGCTTCAGCCTTTGCCAAATGTGTGAGATTATAGACCCAGCCGGGTCCTCCACTACCATTTTTCATTAAAGTTTCTTTGACCGCTTCCTCGTCTTTGGCGATGAATGGTATAACATGAGGATTGACTTGAGAGACAATGAAGTGATTAACATTGAACATTTCTGCCAACCGAGTCATTGGTAGATCGTTGTCCACACTCCCATCAATCCAACGTTGAGGTGTAGGATTCCAAGACGAAGTCTCTCCCGTAAGCGGATTTTTCATGAGCAATTCCGCTGCAGAAAATAGAAGAGGCACCGAACATGATGCAGCTACCGCTGACCAAATCATGACATTCGGTGCCGTAACGTAGTTAAGTAGTCGAGGTAGCTCGTATACTGAGGCAGATGATACACATATATTGAGAATGCGACGAGATCGATTGTAAGCCTCTTGGAATGTCATATCTCCCAAGAGTTCCCGCATGACTCTCGTTAAGTGTTTGATATCGATCCACGCGCCTTCTGTCAACAACCGCCTGATTCTATCCAGAACTCCGTCTTCGTTTCCATTTTCCTCGAACACTGCAAGGTCTCCGTGCGGGAATTCCTTCAGAACGTCCGGGATCTCTTCATCGGTCCTTGCGCACAACACAGCACAAACTATACTACCGGCAGAAGCACCCGATATGATTCTTGGCAGTAGACGAGCCTCGAACAGAGCCTTCAAGACCCCGATGTGGTTCATTCCAAAAGTTGCGCCTCCACTCAATAGTAAGGCACTTCTCCCAAAAGCCTGCCTAGCATATACAACCTGCTCTAGTATATCCTTTGTCTCCAATCCGACCGGCAAGGCATACTTGGTGTTTTCAACCAATGCGCGTATCGTATCCAACGTCGACTCAATATACCTCTCGATGAGAACTTTCGTTCCAACATGACTATGTTTGTATAGTCTAATGTTGCCCATGCCTCCCAGATCCCTCGACAATGTTGTGCGCACCAATGTAAGCATCTTCTTAATATCGCAATCGATTCTAGCCGTATCCATCTGTTTAGTCCTCGCCTCGATTAACGCAGCGTCGAAGTCGGACGACAGTGAATCGAGTTTCCATGCTTCATTATCCTCGAGTATATCTAACTCTTTCGCGGCACTCCTCCAAACTTCCGACGTTTCTGCGTTCTTCATCCGCAGATTCAAAATTTGTATCCTCTCCTCCTTCTTGCGCAAGGCAAACCGTTCTTCATCCGTCAACCCATCTCGCACTTGTAGTATCTTGTTGTTGAGGATATCTGCACCCGTTCTCAGGATCCTGGTTGCCGGTCCAAACAAGCCAACCGAGGGCTCCGAAACCTTCTCTCTATCATACCCATATTCATTCGCACTGGAAGATTTGGCAGATGTAGCGGTAGTATTATTATTAACGACACAAAATTGTGGAGTCTGAAGGTATCCGAACAACACCATGCTTCTCCCAGTCCTCCATTCGAGGCGTACTTTCTAATGGTCCTTCACAAACAAAGCCTTTGGTATGGTTGCGGAAATGCGTCCGTAGCTACAGTGTTGGGGTATAAAAGAGAGAAAACAATCATTAACAGCTTGGAAGTTATGGTATGTAATTATTTTTATCTTATTTAATCATTGACGTAGGGAAGCGCCAGTGCCGGTAATTGAATGGAATACCTAGTATTGCATGCAGATCTCCTGTGTCAGTCTAGTCCATGCAGTGTCACCGGGCACGAGTCAATCTTACTTTCCAACCGATCTTGATCAAATTTCCGAAACAAGGAATACCTAAGCTCAGCTGATCGTACGGAGATTCTCCATAAGTGTCTAGCAGAAAGTCTATGGGACAAGAGGGAAGAATTAATTGTCTTGTTCTATTCTTTCCGTCCGTTTCTTTGTTGTTCAATTGCGGTGTGCTCGAGTACATGGTAAAGGAGCGCAAATCATCATCAATACTAACGCATTTTAAGCTTGGCTGTGCTGTTCAACTTGGGGAGATCATATGGTGCCTGGAGTGCGAGAGTGCGAGAGTGCGAGAGTGCATGCATGACAATCTGATATACGTATCTTACATGTGAATTAGATTTCCGGCGGTACCATCGGGTCAGTTCAGGATCATCATCTCAGCTGAAAAGATCTCGATTTGTTTCTGTACGCAGGGTAGGTTGCATTTCTCTTCATCAGCGTTATTCCGCTAGCCACTTCATATCAATTTGAGACATCTATGCATTATCTATCAAGAACGTATTGAGGCAGATTCTAATGGCTGTACATATGTATATCCAAAAGCAACAAGTAAGATAGATACCTTGGCAGCCCCGACCCCACCATCGATTTGAACTTGTCGACCTTTTCTCCCGCAGATACCAAGGGATTCGGTGGGCAATAGTAAGAATTCCTAGGTAGAAAATATGTAAGAGAGACATCAAGTCCATTTACCACCGGCCATATTGTAAAGTCTTGGAGTCGGATTATCATAAATCGAAGAAGAACCTTGGCCACACTTATATTTACTAGTCTAGTCCAGCCCTAAATTGCCATAGACTCCACCAAGTCGTCCCCCAACTCTCATATTCACTTCCCCACCTCACAGTCTTGATTTCATTTTACACCCACGTGCACCCCTCGTTAATAACCAACCATAGTAACAAAACTTATTAACATCAACACAACACAACAACCTCCTTACCAGGCAATTCCGACTCGACGCAAAAATGTCACCTCCTCCAACCAAAGCCATAGTTCTCATCTCGGGGAATGGCAGCAATCTGCAAGCACTCATTGATGCTTCGCAAGGGACCAGTGACTCGGAAATCACCATGCCATATGTGAAGATAATTCGAGTCATCACAAATAGAAAGGCGGCGTATGGAGTTACTCGTGCAGCAGAGGCGGGCATCCCAACAACATGTCACAATTTGTTGACGGGAAAATACCACAAAAAAGATGAGAAGGACCCCGCAGTGATTAAAGCTGCGCGAGAAAAGTATGATGCGGACCTTGCGGATCTCGTGATTTCAGAACAACCTGATATCGTAAGTGACCACTTTCTTTTATTATTCCCTTTGATTCTTTTCAACATCCAGTCCTTCTTGAGTCTTCAAATCACTTTTCATTTCCCCTATATTGTAACAATTCTAACAAACACTAGATTATCTGTGCTGGCTGGATGCATATTCTCGCACCAACATTCATTGACCCCCTGACTGCTAAAAAGATACCAATCATAAATCTTCACCCAGCACTTCCAGGAAAATATGATGGAGCTAATGCTATCGGACGGGCTTTCAATGATTTTCAACAGGGCAAGTTGGAGAATAACAAGACGGGCCTCATGATTCATTACGTGATCAGTGAAGTTGATCGTGGAACACCAATCGTGGTCAAAGAAGTGGAGTGCAAAAGTTATGAATCTTTAGAGGAACTTGAGGCGAGAATGCACGCAGAGGAGCACAAACTTATTGTTGAGGGAACAGCGATGGCAATAAAAGAGCTCTGGGCTCAGAGGAGTGATGCAAATGCTTGAATTGTTATTTATAAGAATAGCAATCATTAACGAACCCCCTGTCCCTCTTTCGCATATCGCTTCATACTGCTGTCTAGCAAGTAAAGTCATCCACGCTCAAAACCATTCAACTTCTCAAACTCAAGCAAAGTGCTAGATGATGCTGGGAAACACTGCCTTCGGACTGTCGTCGCCATTGGAGGATTGATTTCGTCATATGGGAATATTTTTTGATCAAATCGGTCCTTGGAGTTTTTCGATCAATGTTGACTCTCCGTCTACGATCATTGTTGTGATTCTGCTCATCGTGGAAGAACGTCAGGTATTGTCATCCGTTGATCTTCGACCCAACGCATGTACATGCTCACATCCTTTTGAATCTGGCCTGGTATATTGGGCTTCTGTATCAATTGAGGTATCCAGCCTTTGGCATCTGACTATAAGGTTACATCAGTTAGCAAATATTCAGCACAAATATTTACAGAGGATTCCTACAGCAGTAGCCATTATCCACTCTATCTCCCCAACTGTACTATTAGGGCTAGGACGAAGACAACATCGTTCAATCGATGCGTAAGCCCCCACAACTTGACCTTTCTTTTTGGCGGAGGCGAAACCGGATTCTTGGAAGCTGGAATTTTGTGACCGGGCATTGGCCGAATCGGTTATGGGTATTGAAATAACCAAAAATTCATGCCGTCCAGGTTCGTTAAGTGATGCAGTAATCAGTACCTCAGGAAACTTTCGCTCAGAGACAACCGGGGGCTTATGGATCATTTCTACCACTTCCATTGAGATGTTGTTCCATTGCTTTCCACCAGCCACAATCTCGAAATCGCTCGTTTCCCAGTACATAGCTCTCCTGCTACTGGCGAGCACAGAGTGACACCAATCTTTCTCTCTCTCAAAGTGTTCTTGCTTGATGTGGAGAGTAAATTCGTCCCAAGAAGCTGTATTCGTTTCTGCTTTATTTTCATGAATACTTCGTCTAGCAAACCAAGTCTCCCCTTCCTCATTTGCTTTCTCTGTTGCTTTATCGTGTGTCCCATTGCAATAATCTAGTTCTTCCTTGGAAACGACACGTTTATACAACTGAACGTCCGTCTTAGACTTGAGCAATTTCCAGGGTGGTTCATTCTGGACCATTCCGTTAAGAAACGGGATCGCCTCTTCGAGTACTGCCGTGATAAATGTCTTCGCGTTTCTAGTAGGATGACCACCACCGTTCAACGGCTTTATAGCTCCACTGGCTGCTTCGATACCTATACCTGCCTCGGGCAACTGAGAATAAGAAAGTCCATTCAATCGTATCCAAGGACCCAGTCTGGAAGAAGCACGAGTGGGCTGGGATGCAGGAGTAGGAGTGGTAGACGACGCCATTGTGTTAAAGTAAATTAGAAATAAGACACCGATAAACTCTGCTATCAATTAAGATTACCACCAATCAACGAACGAAATCGAGCAAGTGTATGTCCCAGTGTACGTATTGAGTATCTCTACAGCTTTTATATCGAAACAACTCCTTCCTACACGGAAAGTACCATCTTATCATCTTACCGTTGTGCCCCTTCTGGAATTAGGTCTGAAACGGCCCTGGCGAGCCTGGGTTGCGGGAGGTGCAGATGGTCCAAGCTCTCTCCCTCCCTGATATGGATGAAATGGCACTCAGATTGAATGGATAATTGAAAATGCTAACATTGTGATGCTATACAACAACCATAAGAATGTTCGGAACTACATGTTCTCTATTAATCGAGTAGATTCAACATTTCTAATCAAGATTACAAGAATTTAAAATAAAAATAATGAATGCTTCATTTGTAATCGAATATTGAAAACAGTCCATACCTACCTACCTACTAGCTACCGGTATGTAGAAAAATGCGGCACCACCGGTAAGCTCAACCTTGAGCTCCAACTACCTAATTAATTGATCCATGCACCTACTCCCACCCTCACCTCATCCACCCCACCAAAAACCCCTCCGACTTCTCCAGACCACAACTAAACCACTCATCCACACACACAATCAAACAAACAATCAAACCCTCAACTCAATCCTCCACCCACCCATCCACGCACTCTCACCCCAAACCCCAAACCCAAAACATGGACACCTCCCTCAAAGGACCCGGCGAAGCCCAAAAACACGACGGCAGCGCCCTCCGCATCGGAATCGTCCACGCGCGCTGGAATACCTGTGAGTACTTCCCGACCGCCCCAGAATTACACACACACTCTCCCCCTTTCAAGCCCTACTAGTACCGTAAACCGTACCGTACCACATCACTTCACCTCACATCATATCACATCACTAACCACGCCCCACGCAGCCATAATCGAGCCGCTGCTCGCCGGTACCAAAAAGACGCTCTTGGCCAGCGGCGTCAAGGAAGCGAATATCGTCGTGCAATCCGTGCCCGGGAGTTGGGAATTACCCATTGCGTGTTCCAAGTACGTGATCTTTTTATTCTATTGCTGATTTGTTCATTCATTCATTCATTCGTACATACATACATACATCCCTTGACTCGCATCCCCCATCCCCCATCCCCCATCTCCCATCTTCCATCTTCTATAAACCATGAATCCCCTCCTCCCTTCCCCCAAAACCCAAACAAACAAATAAAACTAACAACCACCCCCCCTCCCCCTCCCCAGACTCTACTCAGCCTCTCAAATCCAATCCACGCAAAGCTCCTCCCTCTCCGCCGGCGACCTCCTCGGCTCTTCCACCACCGATCTCACCTCCCTCCCCACGCAATCGCAAACCGCCGCCTCCACCGCCCCCTTCGATGCCATCATCGCCATCGGCTGCCTCATCAAAGGCGAAACCATGCATTTTGAATACATAGCCGAGAGCGTCTCGCAAGGTCTCATGCGCATCCAATTAGACGCAGGTGTTCCGCTTATCTTTGGACTCTTGACCGTTCTCACGGAGGATCAAGCGCTCATGAGAGCCGGTGTGGGTACAACCGAGAAGGGGAAGGGTCATAATCACGGAGAGGATTGGGCTGCCGCCGCTGTGGAATTGGGGGTTAAGAAGAGGGAGTGGGCTGCCGGAAAAATTGCATGAGGGGGAATGTAATTGCTATTCATATTTTGGATTGAGTGATGAAGGAAAGAAGGAGTATGGATTATTGGACGATTGGATGATTGGAGCATTTGAGGTGATGTTTTGCTTCTAGATTTGATTCACCAAGGACCGCACATGTTGACACTGAAAAAACAATGGTAAAAAAAAGTCGTTGATTAATTGGCGGTATGAGTTCGATCATTAAAACAAAAAGAAAGATCAAAAAAGAAACCCGCCCAGATCTGAAGAAAATTATATTACTACTATACAAGCAGTCATGCCATAGGTATGATTTCCAGTTCAATGCCCCAAGTCTTACAACGCCAAAGTTTTCATGCTATATATCACAAAGCTATCCCCTTCAAATGCACATGCAGAAGCATCTAATAGCGAGTTATCCACCCATGAGATTATTATTGCGTGTAACCAAGCATTTCCGAGAGACCGCTAGTATCCTTTTTTGATTTCCAAATAGACTTCTTCTGCTCTCTTTTCTTTTTCATTTCCGCCCACCCTTCTTCATCATCTTCATCATCATTATCTACTCTCTGAACAGTCTTGATTGTCGAGGCATGCTTGCTGTCCCAACCACCAATTGCACCAGACATGGTCGCGGTCCTTGATTTGGCATCGGTAAGAGGAATCTGTGAGACTGGTCTATATCGACCAGGCAATCCAACATTGCTTCGTTCAGATGGCGCGATTGATGGAGCATAACCATTGCCTTGAGCGTGTGGCGATGGTAAGAATCCTTGGCCATTTTGTTGCTGCAACCAAGGCATGCCACCAGGTTCAAGCATACTCATGGTACGTTGTGCGCTTCCGGGTCGCAGGTTTGGGCCCGAGTTGCTAGTAGGCAATTGCTGACTTGAAGGTCGTTGCATCTCACCAAAGTTTGGCTGAGACATGTGACCCATCGGTCCCAATTGACCCAGTGGACCAAGCTGTGGCGCGCCACTGGGGGGTGGGGTACCTTGTCCACCTTGGTTTGTTGCCATCATTTGCATAAATTGCATCTGCATCTGCATAAATGATTGCATTTGTTCCGTCATCCGGATCTGAGCTTGATCACCAGGAGTGAGCATTGGCTGAGGCATTCCTCCCATAGGTCCCATCTGGCCCATACCTAATGCACCCCCTCCCATGGCTACTTGTCCCATCATCGGTGGAGGAACCATACCAGTGAAGCCGCCAGGAGGCATCTGGCCATATCCAGGATTTGGGCTTCCTCTTCGCGCGGCTCGAGAGCGTTCTTCCGTGGCAATGACACCTACGAGACCTCCGGGAGGAGCACCTCTGTTTGGAGTGCCGTTGATAGACCCTGGGCCACCATTCCCGAATGCCAGCGACTCTCTATTTGCTGGATAAACGAGGCCTGCACCAACATAGGGGTCTTGAGGCAAGTTGCGAGCAAACACAGGCAAAGGTCCTCCAACACCTGGAACACCTTGAGCAGCACCTCTAAGATTGGGGTTTGATCCCATGCTAGTTAGTCTGGTTGTAGGTGGCTTGTTCTTATTCGGGAATCCATGAGCAGCGAGAATGGCCAAAGGAACTTCTTCATCCTCCTCCTCTCCATCCTCCGTCGCACCGTCGAGTACCAAGTTGGGAGTACTGTGGCTGCTAAACATTGAAGGTCGGGATGGGCCTGGCGAAGGTGTCGAGTCTCCGGTGACTTTCATCATCTGTTGTCTGTACACTGACATGTGAGCCTCCTGCTTTCTTCGTTGCTTGGCAGCATTCTTGCTCTTCTCTGCTTCGTCTTCATCGTCCTCATAAGTCTCTTCCTCTTCCTCCTCAGCTTCTTCATCTTTCGGGCGTCCCCCAACACTTCTCAAACGCTCTTGATCTTGTCTGTATCGTTCGAATTGGGCCGGTGTCATAACCTTGTTCACTGGAGCTTGCCTCGAAGGAGGGGGTGATTCTGACCTCTCCTGGAATTGCTGAGCTAAATCGGCGGATTCAAAAAGATCTTCATCTTCTTCTGGCTCGAGGAGCTGTGTCTTTGCAGTCGCCTTGGCGTTATATGCTGCTTGAGAAGGGAGTGCCCAGCTTTTTCGGGCTTGAGGATTGCTTGGTGCTTCACCCAGATGTCTGCTCGCATTGACAGACTCGCGCAGGAGTGCAGCGTCCTCGTCAACACCATCAAATTCCAATGTGGAGTGGCGGCGCATGGAAAGAGCACTGCTTCTCTTAAGTGTCGAGTCGGGGCGAGGCGCACTTGAACGCGGTCTTGGGATAGCTTGGTTCCCATCAGTTTGATGCAAAGGACCATGCCTTGGAACCGGAGGAGGTTGGTGAGCAGGAGGTCCCATATTACGAGTGACCACTGGAGGTGGACTAGTATTTTTCATGAGTCCATCGTTTGATCCCCAAGAATATGGTGGGTCTTCAATGGGTTTGCGTTTGTCAAGTATAAGGGGTGACGGTTGGTTAGCACGATTAGCAGAGTACGACTTCAATGCTGGCTCGGGTGGGAGTATTTCCTGCTTCGTGTTAGTGAATCCACGTTGATGGTAGCGACTCGACTTACAGGGCTCTTGGTAAATCCTCTGACGCCAGGCGAATCTTGAACAGCACTCCTTCGGTGCGCCATTCCAGCAAACATGTCTCCAAAGTCGTCACCCATTGTCAGATCCAAATCTCTCTCTCCGAGTTTTGGTGGTGTAGCCGTGCTTGCGTAGCTGGATGCAGTTACCGCGCGGGTTCGACTCGAGGCGCTATCGTCGCGAATAGTTGGGGAAGGTGGTAGTTCGTCTGATACTTTTGATGGAGAAGGAGTGGCTTTGTTTCTACCCCAAGAGAGTGTTCTTCCAGCGTTCTTCAGAGAAAATCCAGACGATGTCTTTGGTAGCGGCGGCAGGGGAACGTCGCTGTGTCTATCATGTGGTGTTCTCCAGTCTTCGTGGCCAGGTGTCTCCATCGATGAAGGGGCTGTAGATGCTGCACTTAACCTTGAAGAATTATCTGTGGTCGATGCGGTGTTCGTATTTGACGCTCCACTACCACTTGAAATTTATCAGCTTATTACGCCAAGGGTGTACCCTAGCTGTAGGTCCCCTGAACCTCCCACCCAGGTGGAATTTCAGTACTAACCGATTGACAGTATTAACTTTCATGCCCTCGAAAAGGTTGTCCTCCTTGTGCGAATCGGCTGTACCGCTTGCTCTAGCAAATTTTACTCCACCGTCGAAAGATGGACCAGACTTATGACCCCCAGCTGGAGGACGCTCGAAAACCTTAAAGGACGATTCGACGGGAGGTTCGGGATTCTCCAATGCATTTGCTGTCGACTTGCGTCGCCCAAAACTCTTTGGAATTAAAGGCATGTAGTTTGTATTTATTGCTTGGAAGACGAGGTTGCCGGTCTCGAGCTTCTCAGTAGTAATGACTGAAAAAAGGTATCCAAATAGGGGATACTAGGCTCGATGCCGTTGGTATGTTTGATCTGCAAAGGATTGAAGTGTTGGAAGGGGAAATTCACGAATCAATGTTGAAGAAAATAAGTCATGAACATTGAGCTGAATACGCAAGTTTTCGTTGGCAAAGACGTGTGCGAGAAAATGTGAGGAAACGGGACTATTGCAATGGCCACAGGCGAGGTTAGCAAGATCCTTTTAGAACAGATGAAAATGCAAGTCTCCAGTATTCCGATAGATCGACAGATTCATCAAAGGTCCATGCTGTTGTAGAGAGAGACCGGTGTAGTGTAGGTTGAAATGGAAGCAAGCCAGTGTGTGGTGTTATTCGCCGAGTATATCCTCGGAAGGCAAGGATGGGTGAGAGAAGGTTGGTGATGGAAAGGTGCTGAACGACTCTTTCAAGCCCCGGCCAGGCAAAGATTGGTTATGGACAAATGGTAGTAGTGAATGAACCTTGTCCTAAATAAACATATTTTCTTCTGGCGGCCAAATGGAGGCTTTTTGCAGTTGACGTATGGCGTTTGGGGGAAAGGTATGTGTGTGGTATGTACGATAGTAGAGCTGAAATTTTTGGGGATTGTTGATGTTTATAGGCGCAATTTAAATATAGAAATTGAAAGCAGAGTGATGTTTACTTACTGCAAGAACGAGAGAATGAGAGCCCCAGTAGCATGAACGATAGACGCAAAGAGAAGAAAAAGAAAAGAAAAAAAGATTGGAGATGAAACAGAAAATTCAATAGTGATTGATTGAGAGAGCGCGCGCGATGGACTTGATTAGACAAAATGCAATGTCTTTAAATTAGCAAGATGCAAAAGGGCAATCAATTATTGAAGAATTCAATTCAATATGATGATGTGATGTGATGTTTTAAAATGGGAGAGAGAGAGTGGATGAGAGAGTGGATGAGTGAGTGAGTGAGTGAGTGAGCGAGTGTGTGAATAGAGTAGGATGATAAAGTAGGTAGGTAGATAGGTAGATACTAGGTAGATAGATAGATAGGCAGGCAAGGCAAGGCAGGAGGAGGTGCTAAGTAGGTAATCCAAAAAAACAAGATCAGGAATGAATTCTTTTCTTCCTCTCTTGTTAATAATGAATGAATGGGAGATGGATAATGGAGGGAGATGGATGGATGTGAATGTATGCAAATGTTAAGGTTAGAGAGAACCAGTACTAGGTACTAGGTAGGTATTTACCAGGTACCTAGGTAGGAAGATAGTTTTAGTTTATTAGTTCTAGAGGCAATCGAGGAGATGGATGCTTATGGATGCTTATGGAGGTGGAATGTTTGGATGGAGATGAGAAATTCATGGGTTGCTTGGGTGAATGGATGAATGATTGGGTGATAGGACTAATAAGTATGAGTATCTAGTATCTCAGTGCCTCCTGAATACCTAGTAGATACTACAACTAATACTACGACTAATACTACAACTAATGCTACTACGATACTAATGCTCAAGAATAAGAACCTTTTTCCTCTTCTTTCTTTTCTTCCTCTTCCTCTTCCTCTTTGCACTACGGACCGTGGGAGCCCAAGGAAGTGTATTAATCTTTCGCACGGAGGACTGGGTCCCTAGATGCGGAAAATACGGTTGGTATTGGGTATTTTATATTTTTTGAGTTATGAATCATCGTAGTATTCCCTTTCCAGGTTACCGTAACGCATCGCATATCTACCACCACTCTCCAGTCTGTTGATGTGCACAGAGTGTGTGATGGCTTGATTGATGGACTGCTTGACTGCTGGGGTCTGAGTCCCGGTACGGAGGGAGGTGGGCGGAGGTCTAATAAGGAGGTTGCGTATATACACTAGGTAGGTATATC